AGAGAAGATTTTTTCCCCCTTCCAGTCAAGTCAAATTGCCTTAAACATTAATGGTGATGCCATTTCACCAGCTTTAGAGATAATTTTTCATGATATTCCCTGGCATAAATAGGGCTGGTCTTGCCCTTGTAGTCATTAAAATGGAGGCTCAAATTCACCAAGTTTTGACAAATTCACTCAGGTTGAAAAGACAGTTTCAGGTAATCACTTTTTGCCCACAGGTTTTATTATTGATTTTTTTTTCCATTTCATTTCAACTTTGGGGCCTTTACAGATTCTTTATTTGCCTTCCATCATAATAATGTTTTAAAATATTCTTATAAAAAATTTAAAAATCTTTTCTCATTTTTAAGACAAGAGGGTTATTTAAAATATATTTTCTTATATTCTTGAAAATGTAAGGCAGTGAGGTTTACGAGTAGAAGAGGAAATCCTGTGCTTCAGAATCATAGCCAATGGTAGTATGACAACTGATTAGGATAGAAAAGTTAGGGAAATATTTATCCTGTTATTGTCTAGATTGTGGCCTTGATAAAGCAGAATAAAAATGAGAGTAAAATAGGAAAAAAACACAGCATAATCAACAGGACTGGATGCTGAATTGCTTTGTGGTGGGTGAGATCATAAAACAGTATGATGAGCATGGCGATTATTATAGCCTACATGTGTATGAGGATTAATGAGTAGCTATTACTGGATCAAGCTGGAAGTAAATAATAGAAAGCAATTAAGAATTATATAAAATATAGAGCTTTATTCTCTCACCAGTAAAAGAAGTCAGGATATAGGTCCTTAATGTTCTCTCACTAGCTCACTGGCTATGGGACTTGATGTCAGATAGCTTCTCTTGGACTTTTTTTTTTTTTTCATTACTGTAGTGACACTAGTTCCAGACATCAGGTAAGTGTTAAAGGTAATAAAAGGGAAGGAGTGATGGTGTTTATTTCATCTTCTCTTATATCAAAAAACTTTTTCCAGCTGTATCCTTTCTTCCTGCTGTAGTCCTGCTGTAGGTTCCTTGTTACATCTCACTGGCAAAAAAGAAAGACTGAAAAAAATATTTAACTTCCACTTCAATACAAAGGAGACTATGACTAGAATAAATGTTGAGTTATACAGACAATATAATATGTTTGAGTTAGGTCCTGACTTCTTCCTTATGGAGAAGGTTTATGAAGTCAAAGCATCTGGTTTCAAACTTGCTAGGTAAGGTGATATTCAAATATCCAAGTGGAGGGGTTGACGTGACCTTCACTAGGACATAAATAGTGATGAGATAAGAACAGGTGAAACAGAGAAGGGAAAGAAAACAACAAAAGAAACATCCTGCAAGTGAGGATATGGAATAACAAGTACTCTCATTCATTAGTGATGGAAATACTAAATGGTATATAGCCACTTTGAAAGACAGTATGGCAGTTTCTTATAAAATTAAACATATTTTGCCATATGTATGACCCATCAATGACATTCCTTGGTATGTACTCAAATGAGTTAGACAACTTAGGTTCACACAAAATCCTGCACACAGATGGTTATAGGAGACTTATTTCTAATAGCAAAAGAGTTGGAAGCTTGCCAGAAGACCTCCAGTGAATAAACTGGTACATCTAAATAATACTCGATCATTTATCACTAAGAAGAAATGAGGTATTTCTGAACTATAAGAAAGTGAGCTTTGTAACCTTCAGAAGATATGAAGGAATTTTTTTATATGTAGGAATTTTAAATGTACATTATTAAGCAAAAGAAGCCAATACTAAAAGGCTATCTATTGTATGACTCTACCTATATGATGATATAGTCAAACTATGGAGAAAGTAAAAAGATCGGTATTGCCAGGGATCACGAGGTCAAGATAGATGAACAGGCAGAACACATTGGGGGCAGTGAAATTATTCTGTATGATACAATGACTACTAGACATTACACATTTATCAAAACTCATTATGTGTATACTAGCAAGTAAGTTCTGTTGTAAACTGAGGATTCTGGTTACGACAACCCGACTATAACAAATCTACTACTTTGGTCCCTGATGGTGATAGTGGGGGAGGATATGGAGGGACAGCGGGTACATGGGCTCTTTCTTTACTTTTTATTCAATTTTGATGTAAACCGCAAACTGCTCTAAAATAGTTTATTTTAAAAAGTGGGGGGACCAATACTTAACCTCAGAAACACCTATACTTTATGGCTAGGTAGGAAAAAAGGGACCAGCAATCAAGACTAAGGAAAGGCAATCAAAGGAGAGAAAAATAATAAAGCTTTAGCAATAGGGAACAGGAAAGTGTTTCAAGAGAAAGGATCAATAGATTGAAATATAGTCCCGGCTGGCCTTGAACTCATGGAAGTCCTCCTCCTGCAGCCTCCCATGTGCTGGGATTATAGGCAGATGCCACCACACCTAGCTTATCCTTCAGTTGACTGGGATATTGAATATGATAATGAAAAGTATCACAGGTTTATTAGCAATCAGAGGTCGTCTACTGTCTAAGAAAAAAATGGCTTTCAAGGAAATTATACTGGAGATCTGCAATTCTAGGAGGTTAAAGATATGTAATAAGGAAGGTATATTAATGAAATTAAAAAGGAAAGAAAGCACATATAAACTTTCTTATTAAGTTTAATGATGACATACTTATGACTAATCTATGTCTAAAATATTTAAGATACAAAATGATGTTCTTCAGGAAGCCAAATTCTTAACATAAATGAGCAAAATTTATTTTAAATGAAAAAATAATAACTAGCATAAGTATAATTCAGCCCCTCACTCAGTAGACACCACTGTATATTACTTATCAGGAAAATTAAAGACATAAAAAGAGAAGAAAACTTTCTATGTCTACCAAATGCAGCTAATATAAAGAATGGTTGTAAATGATCATAAAAAACCTGATCTTATGTTCTACAATGCAAATAATTTAGGAAGAATTTTCAGTTATTAGAATAAAGACATTATTATTTTAATGATAATATATTTCTGACAGCTCTTTCCTTGTATGGCAATTATGATTTTACCATAATCAATGCTTTGGAAGGTTCTGCATAATGGATAACTATTAAATTTTTTCTTGTCTCTAGACATACCCCAAAACTGCTTCTTTCAGAAATTTGAGTGTAATTCAGGGAAATAAGTCATGAATTTTTCAAAAATTATTCTATTCAAATTCACCTTTAGTAGTGATAGTAATAACAGTGCCATTTATAATAAAATGTTAAAAATATTATTAGTGCTATTTTAAAAAAATTGCTCCTTATCTTCATTTGGACACAGACAATATTAAATCAGTTAATAAAAAAATGACACATACAAATGTTTCTGTTTCCATAAATTGCAGCCCATGTTTAATTAAATTTAACATAAACACACAACCAAAAATGTCAGAATAAGACTGGGCAATTACTATATGTTAACTATTTGGAATTTTAATTTCAGCTTTCTTTTTTTTTTCAATACTAGGAATTGAACCCAGGATCTTTTCACTGAACTACATCCCCAGTCTTTTAGATTGTTTATTTTGAGACTGCATCATGATATTCACTAAGTTGCCCAGACTAGGTGTAAACTCATGATCTTCCTGCCTTTGCTTCTCAGAGTGCTAGGAAAATAGGGGTGTATCGCCACTCCCTTAAATTGTTTTTAATAAAAACAGCCACATTATATTAAGCATATAAAATGTGTTCCCTAATACTAATAAGAAATTAGCAAGCATTACAGAAGCAGCCATTAAAACAACCTTGATTTTCATTTTGAAAACAATGCTTTAAAATTATTGTACTTAATTTTCATGAAATAGTCCATTCTTTGGATCAGAAATATATAATTGCCTCTTTTCACAATCATCTTTATGGTCTATCTATACATTAAGTAGAAAGAAAAAAAGAAAATGAATTATTAAGTTATAAGCTCACCACGAACAATTTCAAAATGAAGCTAAATATATTTTGTAGAAAAATCTGATTTCTGTTGAACCTTTTCTTGGGCAGATTAAAAATAATTCTATATCAAAATGTCATCATTTTCTAAATTTTAGAAGATTAATTTTCACAGTCCTCGCTTGGTTTGTTAAGACCATGACTCTTTCTCTAATTTGCAGAAATAACTGAATTTAAGATGACAAAGTAAAGTACAATCCTCTTGGCAGCAAATCGTTTTTTCTTGTACAATAAAACAAAGATGACTTTTTGTTTCCTATGGATTTTCACTTTTAACAAGTTAATGAGAATGGAAGCACCTTGCGGGTAGAGATAATTACTGTGTCCCAGGCAATATTCTAGGAACTTGGGCACATTATAAAAAGTAGAATGGGAAGTGACAAACATCTTGAGAAAAAAAAATTAGTAGACTCAAAATAACATCCTTTCTCATGATTACTGGATCTACATTATAATAAGACGGAATATGGTTTAAAGTTCCAATTGAATGCATTATATTTCTTTCTCTGTTTTATAGCATTCTCTTACAAATCCCAAACATGTTCACATATCCTTCAAGGAGTATTAGTTTTGTGAGTTAGTAATATCATAGCTCACTTAAAAATTATTATAATACTGATACAAAGTAAAGGCCCGTGATTTAATTTTTTTCTTCAAATGTATTCACTTTTCGTTAATTATAAAAGTTAAAAACTGTCCGGGTTTTTAGCTCAGTGGTTCCACTGCCTGCCTTGCAAGCACAAGTTCGAACCCCAATACCAAAAAAAAAAAAAAAGATTATAAAAAAAGTTAAAAACAAAAAAGAAAAGGAATATATGACAAAGTTTTTAATAGTCTCCCACTCAAAATTCAGAAAATATGTTGTTTTCACGAACAGATACATGAAATAAAATAGTACCATAACAGAAGCGTGCTGTATCTGTGTTTAAAGAAGGGGTTGTTGGCAAACACCACAGCTCACTTCTGCTGAAATGTACACAACTGATATATGCATCACGGAAAGCTGGCACCAAGGGCTTACAACCTTAATTTGCCTGCAAGAAGGAACAGAGATTTACCTTCAGAGCACGTTCTTGATTGTTTTCAGCAGTCAGATGTCTCATGTTGTTTGCTGAAGTCTGGTTCTGCTCTTTCAGATGATGAAGCTCCTGCTCTAGCCGTTTGCACTGCCACAGGGGAAGAATCCCATTAAGTAAAGGAGTTAGCACATTTTTTTTCCTCCAAGCCATATGAATTAATGTAAATAATACCACTTTATTTTCTAAAAGACAAGATTTATTTTTTTTCCAACAAGAGAGGTAAGTAAAAGTAATACTGACTACAAACAAAATAACATTGTTCACAGTGCTCTGGTTATTCAATTATAATTTTCAGTTAATATTATGAATCTAAAATAGTTAAATACTTCTTTAAAAATTAAGATCCAACTTTATTCAAAATTATTTTCTTCATTAACCAAATTGTTTTATGTAGTTATTGACTAAATAAAAACATGCTTCTAAAACCCACAATGGATTCTAAATAAACCATGGTATTATATTCTATGATGTATTATATTCTATAATGCATTATTTTGCAAATAAAAAGTACTCATAAAATATAATAAAGAGATAGTATTTTACATAATAGTTGTATAGGCTATAAAATGATGCACTGCAGTACAAAACAATATGAAGATATGTGAGAGATTAAAGGAATAAAGTATTAAACACTTTTCAGTAAAAGGCTAAAATTTCTTAATTTATTTTTAATTGTAATTAACAAACAATGAAATACACATACTGATTCAACATCATACCAAGTTCTTTCTACACTATTTGACAAATACCCAGTAGCCAAAACGAATAAAAAAATCACTAGTTTACAAGATATGATCTGGCATTTCTTATTATTCTTTTTTTTTCTTTTCTATTTTCTTATTATTCTAACATTAATTTCTTCTGCCTCACACCCTTATAACACGTAGTCCATACCTGTACTTCTCAACTTTGAGTAATATACAAATCCTTTTAAAAGTCTTACTAGACTCCTGATATTGACTTAGATATATGATGTTTATACAAATATTGAGTATACAGAGGCCATGAATACAAAATACAAATTATAAAAAAACAAATACACAAAGTAACCAGAAAATCAAGACATTTCAAATTAATATTAATTTAATAAAATAGAGAATTTGTTAGAGCTAAATTCTGCAAATATGATACAGTACTGAGTGATTCCATGGAAGACACATTTACATCACCATCCCACGATGTGCTACGCACATCTGAATGCAGGTACCACATGTTTTTTAATTATGTGAAAGCTCTCTGACATGTATCATTTGCCCTTTATTAGGAGGGACACATGAATTCCATTAAACTGTGTCTCTGTCCTTTTTAAGCCCATAACAATTAAAGTATTTGGTCACAGAGTGAACACAAAAATCATGAGCCATGGAAATGAATAAAACATAACTTTTACAAGCTACTAGCAATGTTCTCTACTAAATTTAGCCTTTAAAGTATATATCAATCAAATTTCATATACAATTATTAGGTATCATAATGGAATGAACAAATGTGACTGATGAGAATTCAAAGGTAAAGTGGGTAATTTTTGACTATCTATGAAAGCCTCATGCTGCAGATATCTGAACTGGTTTTACTTTGGAATTGGTTTCGTAAGCTGAAACCAAAGAAAAAAAGAATATAAAAGACAAAAAGGAAGGTAGAAACTTAGGAATATATACAAAGTGAGGAAACACAGTAAAGAAGTATTTGGCCAAAAATTTTTAATTATTTTAAGTGAATTTGAAATGAAAAATTTTAAAGTTTACATATTTTTGCCCAAGAAATAAATGTTCCACGTATTTTTTTGTTTGTTTGTTTATGAGGTTTAACATTGACCTGGTAAAAAAGCTGTGTGAGCCAAATAATATTTCTGAAATATTATATGTAAAGGTTCTGTCAGACACACACTTATGATACACATTTAACTACACTGAAAGTTTACTGAGATTTATTTGATCCTATATGTTTTCATTGCCGATACAATCTTCACAATTGCATATTCATTTATAATATATTCTGTCTTACCTTTCTCTACATTCTCCAATTTTGAAATTTATACTGAAGCAAAAAATTTTATTGTGTATTCCCTAGCAAATGCTACTGTCTAGTGTCATTTTATAATTTTTTATACTATTTATAAAGTTGATTATGATCCTACTCTTTCCAATTCAAATTTTCTAGATATTCTCCTTAATGTGAACTTAAACATAATTGATGTTTAAAGAAAAATTGTCACTTAAAACATACAAAGATTGGATACAATAACAGAAACTGTTGTAGCCATCATGAGTATTTACCAAATGCAAATAAATCTTCCCATAATACCTTCAGACATAAACACAGATGTGAAGGCTAAAAATGTAGTACAGTGGTAGGGTGCTTGCTCAGCATGCACAAGGCTCCAAGCTCAATTCCCAGTACTGGGAACAAATGAACAAACAAAACTATGCACCAAATTTCTCCCATCTTGAATCCTGCCATTGTCTTCTCCCCCAAGAAAAACCTATTCTATTAAGCTCTTTCCTGTTCTCTTTTATTCTGCTCTTTGAATTATTTATACTTTTGGTATGTCATAAAAGAGCCATGCAATATTAAAGCTTGTGTGCCTCATTTACTTCATTTAACATAGTATCTATCTAGGTACATCAATTTTCCTACAAATGACTCAAATTTATCCTTTTTTTACAAAGTTCTCCACTGTGTACAAAAATTCCATTTTCATTACCTATTTACTTGTTTATGAACAGATAGACCACTTTCAAAATTTAGCTATGAAGGGAGGAAAGGGGTATGGGGAAAAAAATAAGAAACAAGACATATGTAAAGGTACAAGATCCCAATGATAAATGTAACTGTACTGTTTGCTTTAAATGTACCAATAAACAATGGGCAAAAAAAAAAGAGATTTAGCTATTATGAATTGTACTTCTGTAAACAGTAAACAAGGAAAGGGGTATGGGGAAAAAAATAAGAAACAAGACATATGTAAAGGTACAAGATCCCAATGATAAATGTAACTGTACTGTTTGCTTTAAATGTACCAATAAACAATGGGCAAAAAAAAAAGAGATTTAGCTATTATGAATTGTACTTCTGTAAACATAGATATGCATATGCCACTGTAATATGGCTTTAGCTTTTTGGAGAAGATAATTAGAAAAGAAACAACTGGGTCAAATGGAACCTCTAGTTATAATCTTTTGAGGAATCTCCATAATGATTTCCATGATTGTACTAGTTTACATCACACCAAGAATGGATTAAGGTTTCTTTTCCCGTGCTGCCTTAACAGCATCTGTTATTATGTGATTGCTTGATGCTAGGCATTTTGGAGTAAGATAGAATCTCATTGTTCATTTGGATTTCTGTAATGGCCAGAGATATTGAATTTTTTTTCATGTTTTATTGGCCATTTGTACTACTTCTAAGAAACAGCTATTCATTTCACTTTCTCATTTTTTTGACTTTTTTAATTTTTGGAGGTCTGGGTTTTTAAAAGGTATTTATATATTCTACAAATAATCCTCTGTCCAAGGAGTAGGTGCCAAATTGTTCTTCCTATTTTGTAGGGTGTCTCTTCTCTCATTTGTTGTTTCTTTGGCTCTGAAGGTTGTTTCTTTGGCTGTGCCAAAGCCCTTTAATTTGCTATGATCCCTTATATTGATTCTTTTGTTTTTTTTGAGACAGGGTCTTACTATGTAGTTGAGACTGCTCTGGAACTCACTCTATGAAGTTCAGGCTGGTCGTGATCTCAAAGCGATCCTCCTGCTTCAGCCTCCCGAGTGCTGGGATTACAGGCATGTGCCACCACGCCCGGCATCCCTTCTATTGATTCTTGATGTTATTTCTTTTGCAACTGGGGTTCTGTTCAGAAACTCATTACCTGTGCCTATGTCTTCAATAGTTTTTCCCATTTTATAGTCCAGTAGATTCAGTGTTTCTGCTGTAATATTTACATCTCCAATTTTTATTTTATTTTGGTACTGGGTAAGATAAAGGAATCTAGGTTAATCTTATGCATGGAGGCCAGTTTTCCCAGAACTATTTGTTATAGAGGCTTTCTCCAGTGTGTGCTTTTAGCTTATTTGCCAAAGATCAGATGACTCAATGTGCCTTGGACTGTTTTTACATCCTCTTTTCTGTTTCACTGACCTGCGTGTCTATTTTTAAGGTAGTACCATGCTGTTTTTATCATTGTAGCTTTGTATTATAACCTGAAGTATGGACTTGTGATGCCTCCTATTTTCCTCCTGTTATCCAGGACTGCTTTTGTTTTCTGGTCTCTTTTTGCTCCATATATATTTAGGATTGTTTTCTCTAGTTCTTTAAGGAATGTCACTGGTATCCTGATTGGGATTAAATCTATACATGAGTATGAGTAGTATCACTACTTTGAAGTATTTGTTATGCTTATCCAGAAACACAGGATATCTTTCCATTTTGAAACGTTCTCTTTAATCTCCTATTTTGGAACACTATAACTTTCATTACAGAAGTCTTTCATTTCCTTGGTTAGGGTAATTCCCAAATCATTTTTCTTGGAATAATTATGAACATTATTATTTAATTAATTTCTGAATGGTTTCACCATTGGCATACAGGAGAGCTACTGATGTCTGTGTGTTGATTTTGTATGCTGATATATTACCAAATTTATTAGGAGTGTTTTGGCAAAATTTTTGGGTCAACCACATAAAGGACCATGTTATCTGCAAATAATGATTTCTTCCTCTCCTGTACATTCCCTTTTCTTTCTTTTGTCTGAATTCTCTGTTTCAAGTACTATATTGAGCAGGAGTGTTGACAATGAAAATCATTATCTTGTTGAAAGCTTTCATCTATACTCCATTTAATATAATGTTGATAGTAGGGTTTTCAAAAGTGGCTTTTATCAGGTTGAGAAAAGGTCCTTCTATACCTATTTTCTTCAGGGGGTTTTATCATGACTAGATAGTGAATTTTGTCAAAGCCTTTTCTGCATCTAAGGAGAGGATCATGTGATTTTTGTCCTTGTTTATTTATGTCATATACTACTTTTACTGATTTGTGTATGTTGAACCATCCTTGCATCCTTGGGATAAATAAAGCCCATTTGGTCATGATGTATG